CGCAGATCTGGAGGCGAGGTCAGGGTTAGGAAATGGGGATCCTGGAAGCGAAGGGCCGGTGACTTATGACCGGCTTCCGCTTTACGGTCAAGGGTGGGACTGTCTTAAAAATAGAACATAGATTGGAACAGCTCCAGGACGGAGTGAGATCCTCTATTTTTAGAAACTGGGCTGTAAGTGAGGACCTTTGGGTCTGGAGGCCTCCTCCCGAGCTGGGCCTGCCTTTGTCTGGAGAGAGAGAGATGCCAGGGGGATCCTTCGGCTGTACGAAGCCCTTAAGACACAACAGAGCAAAATGCCCAGTCTAAAGTAGAACAGTCTTTTTTCTTCTTCTTTCAGTCCTGGGAATTAATTACTGTTCGGTTCTGGCAACTTTAAGGCTTGTGGACTTCAACTCCCAGAATTCCTCAACCAGCCAAGTTGAAGTCCACAAGTCTTAAAGGTTTGTCACGTTTGGAGACTCCTGATCTATCCTGATCTATCCATCTGCGGTTCAGCTGGGAAAATGTCTCCAGCAGATCTAATAGTTTCTTTCCAGAGAAAGAAAGAAAGAAAGGACAGATTTGTTCTGGGAAGGAAAGATAATTGGGAACGTTTGGAAGCTAAAGAGAATGATGCAGACAGATGTGTTCAATCACGGTGTTCATCCACACTTGATGTAATATCCCAGAATTCCTGAGCCAGCATGGGGGGAACTATGGCCCCTTTATGACTCATGGACTTAAACTCCCAGAATTCCTGAGCCAGCATGGGGGAACTATGGCCCCTTCATGACTGGTGGACTTCAACTCCCAGAATTCCTCAGCTAGCATGGGGAAAACTATGGCCCCTTCATGACTTGCGGACTTCAGCTCCCAGAATTCCTGAGCCAGCATGGGGAAAACTTTGGCCCCTTCATGACTTGTGGACTTCAACTCCCAGAATTCCTCAGCCAGCATGGGGGAACTATGGCCCCTTCATGACTTGTGGACTTCAACTCCCAGAATTCCTCAGCCATCATGAGGGAACTATGGCCCCTTCATGACTTGTGGACTTCAACTCCCAGAATTCCTGAGCCAGCATGGGGGAACTATGGCCCCTTCATGACTTGTGGACTTCAACTCCCAGAATTCCTCAGCCAGCATGGGGGAACTATGGCCCCTTCATGACTTGTGGACTTCAACTCCCAGAATTCCTCAGCCATCATGAGGGAACTATGGCCCCTTCATGACTTGTGGACTTCAACTCCCAGAATTCCTCAGCCAGCATGAGGGAGCTATGGCCCCTTCATGACTTGTGGACCTCAACTCCCAGAATTCCTGAGCCAGCATGGGGGAACTATGGCCCCTTCATGACTTGTGGACCTCAACTCCCAGAATTCCTCAGCCAGCATGGGGGAACTATGGCCCCCTCATGACTTGCGGACTTCAACTCCCTGAATTCCTGAGCCAGCATGGGGGAACTATGGCCCCTTCATGACTTGGGGACTTCAACTCCCAGAATTCCTCAGCCAGCATCCCTGGCTGAGGAATTCTGGGAGTTGAAGTCCACAAGTCATAAAAGGAACAAGTTTGAAGACCCCTGTAATATCCTATAGAGCTTTGAAGAGCAGGACTGCACAACTCCTGATGACTCCTAGGTGGCAGTAACAGGTGAGAATTTTGTCTTGTCTCCTTGGTTCCATCTAGTGGTGACTGAGGGTGCTGCAGCCAGATGTGGTAGTATTAAAATGAGGGAAAGAAATGGCTGTCTTTCCCTCTTCTCCCTCCCCTCAGTGCATTCCTCCCTTGGTCCTACAAAGCTGTTTTAGACTCTGGACTGAATCCCCTGATGCAATTTCCATTACTTCACTTCGGTTCCAGCTTTGCTGCATCATCCAGGTTCTCGTCATCCGGCTAAATCAGGCCCTGGATTTCTGCCCTCAGACCTTGCCCAGATGGGACGGTCCCGGCGTGGCAGGAGCAGGAACGTCGCAAGAAGGTAAACTTGCCGTGAACGACCCACATTTCAGTGGCGTGGCTGTTGCGACACAAGTTGATGCCCTTTTCAGAAAGGGACTGCGCTGCGAAATCCCAGCTTGACAGACTTTGATTCCTAGTTACAGCAGGGTCTATGGAAAAGGATTGGGTTTTCACAGGCTTTAGCACTGTGAGAACACTGCAATTTAAGCCTTCTCCCCCCCCCCCCTTATCTTTGAGAGTAAGCAACAAAATTTCATTTTTAATGTGTGCTAATGTGCCCACAGTAAAAAATGACAATAAATGTTTATCTATCTATCTATCTATCTATCTATCTATCTATCAGCTATCCATCAGCTATATCTATTATATCATCTATCATCTCTATCATCTATCAGCTATCTATATATCTATCATCCATCTATCTCATCTATCTATCATCTATCAATCTATCATCCATCTATCTATCTATCTATCTATCTATCTATCTATCTATCTATCTATCTATCTATCTTTAGAGACTAGCAGAACCTGTCACTTTCAGCTAGGTTTTTTTTAAAAAAAACTGGTCCATTTTAAAGTGAATCATTGGTGAATGAGAGAGAGAGAGACAGACACAGACACAGACAGACAGATGACAGGTAGGATAGATAGATAGATAGATAGATAGATAGATAGATAGATAGATAGATAGATAGATAGATAGATAGATAGATAGAGAATATGTCTGTCTGTCTGTCTGTCTGTTTATGTGCATGTGTGTGCACATATCAAAAAATGTCTAATTAAAAGAAGGACCAGGGGGGACACGATAGTAATGTTCCATTATTTGAGAGATTGCCACAAAGAAGAGGGGGGGTGTCCTTATTTTCCAAAGCACCAGAAGGCAGGACAAGAAACAACGGATGGAAACTAATCAAGGACAGAAGCAACCTGGAATTAAGGAAATTAAACTTCCTAACAAGACAATTAACCAGTGGAACAGCTTGCCACCAGAAGTTGGGGTGCTCCAACACTGGAGTTTTTTTAAGAAGAGATTGGACAGCCATTTGTCTGAAATGGTATAGGGTCTCCTGCTCGAGCAGTGGGTTGGACTAGAAGACCTCCGAGGTCCCTACCAACTCTTATTATTCTATGTTCTATAAAAATTATATATCCTAGTTTTAAACCTCTTATTGGGAGGCATTGAGAGACAACACCCTCATATTCCCCAATCCTCACAGAGAAACTGTCCTTTCATGTTGGGCTTTGCTGGGAATCTAAGAGAGCCAATGGGTTCTGCTGGTTAAAGGGTTGAATTAGCCTCAGTTTGTTCACTTTTGATCATAAAAACCCAATGGAGGTTTGGGGGGTGTCAATCATTCTCTCTCCCCACCCGATCTAACCCACAAGGGCTGTTGCTGGGGGTAGGGATAACACAAAGGGGCATTCCTCACAAGCCAACTTGTGCTCTTGGATAAAAAGTAAAAATATTTTTAAAAAACTAAATTAATAATAGTACTTAAAAGAATTACATGCCTGGGTGCTCCTATTGTCTCGATTATCAAGGATAAGAAAGATGTTGGACCCAGCAGCTATTCAAGGTCCAAATTACTAGAAGAATCATGTTCTAAATGGGAAAAAAAATACCAGCCTTGTACAGCAGGAAATATAGTCCTTTATTCTTTATAAGCAGCGAACAATTTCAAATACGAAAAAAGCAATAATACATAAAGCCTAGAATTAAGGCACAGAAAACGTTTCTGACCGCAGTGCTGAAATGATTCAAGTATAAAGTTTCACAGCCACCAAATAAGTCTCTTGTCTCTCACTCCAGGATGTTGCATCCAAGGCCTTCTTCCCAGGCCGAGGACTCTGCATTGTACAAACACATCCACAGTCAAAATGCAGCTTGCCCTGAAAAATAGGGAGCACACAAGATGTTAACAAGGAGGCTGGAGGTCTAATTTAAGCCAAAGTTTCTCCAAACTCATCCCCCAAAAAGGTAACCTATCCCTTCTAATTTGGGATTCATCCGAGGTTCTGCCTTGGGAGGGCCATCCGCAAGGATGGAGAGTCAAAAACCTCAAGATGTTGGCTTTGATTCTACGGTTGAGGCCACCGTCTTGAACGTCTGCGGAGAATTATGGAAATTTAGTCTTAACTCATACGTTAGGAGATCGTCTTTTGGGGGGAATTGGCCTGGAGCTTTAAGCTCCTTGTGTAGCTACAAGTCAAAGCAAAACCTTTGTTCCTGAATCGCCAAGGAATAATTCAAACACCAATGCCTGCAATTTGAAAATGAATGGCAATATATACAGTAGAGGCGGTTTCTGAGAGCCTTTGAAAATTTGAAAATGTAGCCTTGATTGAGTCTTTTGAGGAAAGGCAATAATTGTTAAATCGTTCTTTCTATGTCAATTCTGCAGAAAGGAGGGAGGGAGGGAGGGAGGGAGGGAGGAAAGTGGATGTATGGACGGATGGACATTGGAGAAGATGGAGGGAGGGAGGGGGGAAGGAAGGAAGGAAGATGGAGAGGGCTGGGAAAGAAGGAAGGAAAGTGGGTGAATAGGTAGACAGAAGAAATGGAGGGAGAGAGGGAGGGAGGGA